GGGGGGGGGGGCGGTGCCGGGGCTTCTGGATTAACCAGGCCCCAGAGGGAAAATGGCCTATCCTGTCACTCCGCCCGTTTGTAGACGAAGCCCAAAGGTGACCCACCGGGTCCAGAAGGGCACCTGCGAGGAGGGCGCCCGGAAGCAAGCGCGCCCCCGCTATAGGTGAGCCATGAACATTAGATCCCTGTCAAACAGTTCCGAAATTTCCCTCAAAGGTTTTTGCTCCCTAGGCTTCTGTCCCGGGATCCTTTTTGATGTGATTCTTCGGGGGGGGGGGGAGTCAGATGGCGTCAGGTGAGGCGGGGGGGGGGGGGGCGGGGCGGGGCGTGGGGGGCGGATTTACAGGCCAGTAAGAGCGAGGGACAAACTCATGGTGTTTGTTTCTTTTAAATTCTGCTTTCGACAAAACTTCTGCCTGATGACTTTCAGAGAAGCATGTCTAGACCTAACTTCCCTTGAAAACCGCCATGCTAACGCTTCCTTGTATTCCCCAGAGACCAATCTTGCGTCTCTTTGAAGCCACCCGCTGCCTGCGGTTAAGATGAGCCCAAGTCCCCTTCCCTTAGTTCTGTATTAAAATATGCACCGCGTCTGTTTGTACTAGGCAACTCAACTCATGGGATTTTAAGTTACAAATTAAAGGCTTCTGTTCCTTTCCTTGCGCAATTCCCTCCTCCAAAGGAGAGAGCGCACAACCAGGAACTCCAATTTGCCTCTTCCCAGCTTTTAAAATAGCACTGCAGAGCGAAAAGGCTGTTTGTTAGCGCTTAAGGTGCGAATATCGGAAGCGAGGCTCCTCTGCTCATTTTCTGTGCTGGGCACTAACTCCACGAACGAGCAGGATTCGCTGGCGCCGCGGCTCATTTCCAGGTTTCCGCTGGGCTCCTTCCCATCCCACGCGCCCGGCGCTGCTGGGATTCGCCCGCGCTGGAGAGCGAAAATTCGGCGGTGTCTGTGGTTTGGAGGTTCTCCTTCCCCCAACCGGGGGGAGAGAGCCGGAGGGCCTACGCCGGCGGCCGCAGCGGCCTCAGCGGCCTCCCCTGAGCAAGGAAGGAGACCTTGGCACCAGCTCCTCCCCAGGACGCCCCGAGGGCACACTCGACTTGAAAACAATAGAAGAAAAAACGGCCCAAAGTTCTTTCCTTACAGAAGGCACCCACACCCTCAGGCACAGTTTGCAGTTGGGTTTGCAAACATCCATTCCCCCTCCGCTTTATAGATCGGAAATGCACCCCCAACTTATTCACTGGTGGTGGTGGTGGTGGTGATAGTGGTGGGTGTTCCTGATGCTACTTTCAGTCTTCTGCCCTACGCTTTCTTCTCCACGATCAACGTTGTATGCACGGAAGGGTTTTGCACGAATTGCTCGAGGGAAAGATTGCAAATTACGCAGAACGCCTGCGGCTAGTAACTTCTCCTCGGGCGCTGCGGGAGCGCCCCAGCGTGACACCCCGGAATGGGCTCTGTCTTGGTGGACGGAGAATCACCCTGATCGCTCACCTGCTCAGGCTTCCCAGGACCCCGCGGCTCCGCGCCTCTCTTCCCGCGCAGAGTCGGGAGGGGGTGCGCTTGGGTTAATCTGGAAGTCGGGGCGCGGCGTCCCTCTGCGCGGTCTTGGAGAGGTCGGGTTTCTTTCTGGAAGGTGTGCTAGCCGAAATCGCCGCAGTCCAGCTAAGCCGATTGCTGTTGCTGGTCTCCCCTGGCTCCTCCAGCTTCCTGGCGCAGCGGCGGCAGTAGCCCGGAGCTCCAAGTACGGTTGGCTCCGACCGGAGGCCGCCCCTGCGAGTGGATGCCAGGCTCACTGCCCCAGGTGAATGGCCAGGCAGGCTCTCCCGCCTAGTAGCCTCTCACTCTCCCTTTCCCTGATAGCGCCGCCCGGGAGCCGCAGGGAGATGGGATCTCAGGGGCTCACTCTGATGCATTGAAGCTCCCTGCCGCGTCGGCCCTCCGCGCGGGGAAAGACATCTGCTCACCTGCTGGTTATTCGCCAAGTGATTCTACAAACCAGAGCCCCGGGGCAGCGGGAAGAAAAAAATAATAACCCAGGAGGCGGCCACTGCTGCCACAGGTGCAGGTAGGAAGTTCGCGTTCCCGCCTTCCAGGGACGAGATTGGACCAGGTCGCCTACGTGGCGCCAGCCTTGGGATGTCTGATTGGAGAAAGGCTGCGTGCGCCGCTCGCGAGTCGGACTCCTGAAGAAGAAACAGTAGAGGAGACCGGAGGCCGGGAGACCGAGGCTGCAGGTGGGCTCCGGTGGATAAACGTCGTCGCAGCTCTCTCTCCCAATGCCCCTACCCCAATTTCTCTTTTTCCCTTCCTCTCCGCGTCCCCAATCGTGGCCACTCAGCTCCCAGAATCTCAAGTTTTGTAACTTACAGGAGCCGTTCCATACCCAGGCACAATGTTGCAGAGTTGCAGGCGCCCTGAGTTGAAAGGCTGTAACATTAACACGTTCGTTATGTGCCAGCCAGGCGCTCTTCC